AGAACAATTTCTTACAGAAGTTAAGTCAACATAAGATTTCACGAGGAGTAAGATACATCAATCAATGGAGGAAGGGTGAAGACATTTAAAATCTAAAATGTAATTCAGCTTGAATCCACACATGTCTTTAAGATAGTTCTAGAGTAGCTTAACACAGGGAAGAATACAGAGTGCAGATTTTTTACTGTGCAGGACACAAATTCCTTCCCTCTCTGTGCTTATGCTGACATTTAATTGTATTCCTTCAGTTGTGTGTGTGTATATGTGTGTGTGTATATGTGTGTGTGTGTGTGTGTGTGTGTGTGTGTGTGTGTGGGTGTGTGTGTGTGTGTGTGTGTGTGTGCTCTGCCACGTAAAGCATATTTCAGCTCTCTAAATGTGGTTCTCATTACACAGCAGAGCATTTAGCCAAGACTCACTCTCTGCATCTCTCTCTCTCTCTCTCTCTCTCTCTCTCTCTCTCTCTCTCTCTCTCTCTCTCTCTCTCTCTCTCTCTCTCTCTCTCTCTCTCTGTCTCTCTCTCTCTCTTTTTCCTACTTATCCCTCAGCAGTAACCCCTCTCTCTCATAAACACTCACACATACTAACACACCACACGTTAGAGTGTTTTTGGGGCACGTTCTCTTTTTTTACATCGATGTCTCCTCTCTGTTTCATGAATCACAGCCGCAGCTGAAACCACACTTTCTGAAACTCATCATCCTCCCTGGGACTCTGTTTGTTTTGAGCTACCATCTATAGTGTTGATTGTTGATGTTGGGCCACAGCCTCTTACCACAAACAAAAAAACTCAAATGAATGGGAATACAGGACATGTACTGGCTTCACTTCCTGTACTATATGTTGGTACAATGTGATCTTGTCATATACTGTTCATATTTAGCTGCTTGGGCCTCCGCCTTTAGTGTTTTATCTTGATCAAAGGTGGGAGAATTACTTAGATCTTGTACTTGAGTGAAAGTAGAAGTACTGAGATCTTGTACTTAAAGGGGACCTATCATGCAAAATGCACTTTTATACATGAATATGTGTCCCCGGTGTGTCAGGGAACACAACCCTCTCTCTTTTCTTCCATACCCAAATCTCTAAAAACGGGGCTGCAACGGAGCTGATACAGACTGATACAGATTTGAAATTGTTCTGACATCAGAAATGGGGAGCTCCGCCTATATGGGCAACTCTCCACCTATCAGGAGGAGACGGCCACGGCCATTGCCGCTCGAAAGCGCTGGAGACGCTGTAGTACATATGCCAGGCCTGTAAGTGGCGCTGTAGTCTGCCGCAAAAGCAGCGAAGAAGACTTCTCACAGAATCAGCCCTTGCAAAAACAGGGCTGGAAAAGAGCAAATAGAGCGAAATGAGGCATGGCTAAAATGCATGATCTGTTTGGTATTTAAAAAAAAAAACTTCACAGACATATTTTATATAGGTATGGCCCAACAATATATTTTTCAAATATAGCATGATAGGTCCACTTTAAGTAAAAGTAGAAGTACCAGAGTGTAGGAATACTCTGTTTCAGTAAAAGTCCTGCATTCAAATGTTACTCAAGTAAAAGTAGAAAAGTATTAGCATCAAAATATAGTGAAAGTAGTCATTGTGCAGATTGGTCCATTTCAGAATAATATATATGATATGTTTTATAATGATTGATCATGAAAGTGTTCTCAAAGCTGGTAAAGGTGCAGCTAGTTTGAATGACTTTGTATACTGCAGGGTAGCTTGTGAATTTACTCCAGGTGGAACTAAAGTCTGATTTAACACTTGATTATATTTCACATCATTCATCCAGATCTGTGAAGTAACTAAAGGGATTAATACATGTAGTGGAGTAAAAGTACACCATTTACCAGTAGTAGATAATGAAATACTCAAGTAAAGTACAAGTATTCTCAAAAGTATACTAGTACAGTACTTGAAATGTACTTAGTTACTTTACACCACTGATCTTGATGAGGATTGTGTGTGGTTTATGTGGGTACCCATGGTTAAAGTATTACATGGTCGTGTTTTGGTTGTGCAACACAACTTCTTGATAATGCTCTGAGATAAGATCATGGTTTGGGTTTAAATATGTATACATGTATGTTTGTTATGTTTTGATGACTTTTCAGCCAATGTCAGAGTAGCTCAACGTATGCTACATCTGAGGTTCTGTCGCGTGTTCAGATTGCAGCTTGTTGTAGGATGTATGTATGTTAGCACAGTAACAGTATTTAGTAAATCCACAGATTTTGGTTGTTGTTCCGATTTGTTCAAGCTCTTTGTTGTACATTTTGTGTTTGCATCTTGTTTAGATTCTTTGTATAGGATTAAATAAGTAACCTGCATTTTAACTGTGTAACAGTAAAAGCCAGTTAACAAAAAAATACAGGCAACAAGCAAAAGAAGCTAACTTCCGTGTCGGCCTACAAAAATATGTCATCACTGCACCACTCTATATGAGCTTTGTGTTATTCCACTTTATACATTCTTGATTATTGGTTGTTAACTGTCTTTAATTGTAAAAAAAATAAAAACATCTGACAGTTACCAATAACAGGAATAAAGTGTTCAAAATAATAAATAAACTAATTAACTAACAAACAAAACAAAAGATAATATGTTAGCCAGGCATCATTTTCATTCATTAGCATCATGCTATGCACATCCAGCCTCTGTAGCTCCTGTGCTGTGCTTTATTGATGGTCAATAGGTGCATAGAGTTGCCGTTATAAACATAATAACGTCTTCTGCTGTGTTTAAAAAAAGTATGAGTTAAGTTGGTTAAATAATAGCCTTCCGTATCCTGAGCCTCACTGGCTGCCTATGGCCAGCGTCAAGTGCAGACTGTTTCGCTCTTAATACTGTCTGATGCTCTGAGTGTCTAATGATGGGGATGATTGACATTAGGGTTAGTTTAAATCCTATTGCACGTCATTCAGACTATAAAAGAGGTATTTTCACGTTGGTATGAAAATGCCGATCTGTATTTGACACCCTGGAAGTGAAACAAGTCTTGTTGGTTTTCCTTCTTTAGTTAAGGGAGTTTTTACCCTAAAATACTTTACATTTTGTGATGAGAAAAAACTGTTTTTCACCAGTGTTTACATTCAATATGAATCTGTTTGATGGCACGGTCTGTGCGTTCACATTATGATCAGATCTGATCGCTGTATCATGAAGATGGGTCACATGACTGACAAAGGCAGCTGAGGTGGCCAAAGCCTTTTTTTAATCTATTTATAAGCTAACATGCTCTCAGGTCCCTGATGAGTCTCCTGATGCGACTGGTGATAATCAGATAACACCCACCATGTACCAACACCTTAGTTTAGCATGTTAGCATGCCATCACAAAAGAAAAGCTATCATAGGTTTGCAGGTAAAAATATTAAAATGTTGACGCTAGACCAGTGGTTCCCAACCTTTTTCAGTGAGGCCCCCCTTGGGTAATTGGAAATATTTTCGAGCCCCCCCCCAACCCGGTTCCCACCGAGATTGGTAGAATTAATTGTATATAGTTGTACAAACATTACATTTTCTCTGCTAATAATAACAAGAAAAAAAGATCCAACTAGAATTTTTTATTTTATTATGGATTGAACAACAAAACAAAAGTGCTTGTATTGGCAGATGATCCTCTGCCACTGTGAAATAATGAGACCTAATTTAAACAATTACAAATATGTTTTATCGATCCAGTTCTTTAACAGTATTTGTAGAGGCTATTTTTGTTCTTTTTGAAAACTAATCAAATTGGAAACAGAATTAACATTGATTTAATTTATGTACAGTAAAGTGTGGATTATGGGCTGCTAGCACACATACCTGCAGTGGTGGTAGTAACTAAGTAGATTTAGTCAAGTACTATACTTATTTTGAGGTACTTAAGTATTTCCATTTGCTTCTTTGTACTTCTACTCCTCTACAGTTCAGAGGTAAATGGTGTACTTTGACTCCACTACATGTATTTAATACCTTTAGTTACTTTACAGATGTGGATGAATGATGTGAAATATAATCAAGTGTTAAATCAGACTTTAGTTCCACCTGGAGTAAATTCACAAGCTACCCTGTAGTATACTACTTTTACTTAAGTACTTGATCTGAGTACTTCTTCCACCTTACACGTAATCGGGTCAACAGAACTCCGAGTTAAGGAAGTTGAAAACGGTGCATTTCTCCGTATGAATATGATGCCTTTTGGCCAGCTGATGGACAGATTGCTTGTGTTTCCGCGTTTATGCGAAAATACTTATTGCAAACGAGCATTGACCACATCGAGCCTTGTACATTGTCACCTTTGAACGCTCTGTTCTCCACCGGCAGATCTCTGTGTGCACGGTGCTCCAGCGAGTCTGTGAGCGAGCTGCCCCGCCCCCCGCACAGAGAGAGAGAGAGAAAGAGAGAGAGATCCCCACCGACCACGTTAGATGTCAAGGGAGATGTATGCCTCATCATACTTTGTTGATTTGGGAATTATCGCTGAAAGGCTTATCGCTGAAAGGCTTATCGCTGAAAGGCTTGTCGTGGGCACGTCCACTTTTCTTTTATCTGTCAATGTGTCCATTTTATAGATTTTACGAGCAAAACATTTTTGTTTACAACTTCTCCCCAAGCTTCACGCTCCCCCCCAGGTTGGGAACCACTGCGCTAGACGATCACCAGTCATTAGGATACATCCAGAAGTTGCTGACATATTTAAATTAAAAATGACAACCAGCTCGTGGAGCCAGATGAAAAGTCAGGTGATCACCAAGATTATTAGTTTCATCACAAATGTCTGGAAATAATGTTACTTGACCAAATGTCTTGGTGATGTCTTAGTCTGGACTATAGTGTCCAACTTCCCCAGAGTGCCATTCATAGACGCCTGCAACTAAATTGCCATAACACATGACATGAATTGAATTACTGAAAAACCATTCTAAAGTTGGGATTGAAGGAAGTGAGAAAAATCTCCTCTAATGGAATGTGGAAATGTTCCTCTAAATAAACGGTGAATCTCTTTGTCCACAGGGTAACCAGGACACACCGGCACCCCCGGACCCATCCATGGCCCAAGCTTACCCATCAGCCCAGTTTGCCCCCCCTCCCCAGAACAGCATCCCAGAGTTCACAGCTTCACACCCCCATCCACATCCACACTCCCACCCGCACCAGCACCCGGCGGCCCCGCAGGACTACCCCGGGGTGCAGGCCTCCGTCAGCGACCACCCCCTCAACATGTACCAGTCCTCGCAGAGCCACGAGGGGCCGAGCGGCCCGGACCCCGGCAGCCACAGCGTCCCCGGCAACGCCACAGTAAGGCATCATGGGAGAGGTGGGGTTTAAGTCGACTATAGCTCACTGAAAAGCTGAAACGTTGACTTTAATTAAATGTATTATGTCAACAGATTTCACACAACTGTATTGGGTTAGTTGGAAGCAATAATATTACATTTAAATAAGTTCAACTTAATATTATTGCTTTCAACTAACCTAAGAAAGTAAGGTCAATGTTTCAGTTTTTTTCACTGCTGGGTTTTAGAGTGTATTGACCATTCTGTACTGTATATGATTAGTTAAATTGTTACATGCAATGGAGTTATATAAAACAGTTCAGAACAGTTTGTACTATTTATTTTCTTTTTTTAATACCCGATCAAAATCATAACCTAACTTTAACCAAGCTTTACACTATCTTATAACACAGAAAAACAAATGTCAAACCTGTCAGTGCCCTGTAGCAAACATTCCATCCACATGTGCCCTGACCCCATCACAGGTCACCCAAATTATTCAAGGTGAAATGAAGGAGGACGATACTTTAAACTGAAACTACTTTAATTAAAAGTCTTGGTCCGTACAAGGCAAGTCATAACAGAACAGAACTGTGTGTTAAAAAACACGAATCCGACGAAGGCTTAACAAAATACAGGAACTATTAAAAGCAGAAATAATGAGGGGATGAAGTGCAGGTCAGGTGGTTGCAGGGATGATGGGGAACAGATGAAACTAATAAGACAGACATTCAAAAACATAAACGGACAGGAAGTAAAGACATGTCACAGGGGAAGAAACCAATCGGAATTGGAAAGAGACTGACCTTTTCAAGTCTCAGAGGTTTTGTCTTCACTACGATTCATTGTCAGCTTTCACACCAGCCGAACACAACCAGGAAACCCAGTCGGTCTGAACAGAGCAAACAGAGGAGATGTGAGCCAGACTGCTCTCCTTTATCAAGGTTCACATTTTGTGTTTGTTGAAAAGGTCTCTAATGGGTCTTGGTGTAACATTGGATATTGAGAAGAATTATCTGGGGATTGTTCGAGTGTCGCAGCCTTCCAATAGCAGCTGCTGATGTTGTGTGCTGTCTTTGATACATGGCAGTTGGACCGGTCATTGTATATTCAGGTGATGTGGAGCTGCTCCACTCCAAGGTTCCCCTCCAGTGTGTTTTTGTTTTGGCCATAAAGTCCCACTATAACAGACCCTACAGGATTATTTCCTCAGTGTTATCTGTTTACCACTCCAGCACTCCAAAGACAATTATCAGTGATTTCTGGGGGCCTTTTTGAGTTACTGTTCTAATACAATTCATATGATTTTGAATGCCACATATACCAGTACAGCCAGGAGTCGTCAGAATCCTGCTGGTCATTTTTTCTTTCAATTTATAACTCAGTTCAATTTCATAAATATGTATTACACCATTAGTCCCAAGTGTCATACAAATTGATATTATTTTGTAAAGTAATAATGTGTTCCCTCAGCTCTGCTAGAACTGCTTAGTTTTCTTGTTGTTTTTCGACTGGACTTTCAAACTTAATTCACAGTTAATAGTTATCTGAATCAAACATGAAGCTCTACCTCCTGTGAAATTACAAAAATATTAACTTTACAGCAGTTTGTTTCAATCTGTAAATCAGTATATATGGCAAGCAGCAATATGAGAATACATTTCCCTTAAATAAGTGATTTCATTTATTGGATATGTCTGGCGTAAGAAAGACATAGAGATTAGATGGCCATCAAAAATCAAAAACAGAACATATCTTTAAGTACAATGCAATAACAAAACATTTTTTAACATGTTTTTTGCCTGAAATAAGATTTGCTGTTAACACAAGCTGAAGAAATTAGCAAGTTTTTTTCTACGATATAAAATACAATAGTTAATACCCCACTGGTGAATGTCTGAAGCATCTCTATGTCTTAAAAATGGCGGTTGCTAACAAATGACTAAATGAGACTACTAAAAGTCATCACGCTAATATTAGCCGCCATTAGCTTAGCGGTGGTGACCTCATGTGACTGTGAAGTATTTTCTAGAGTCTACTGTTAGCTTTGCCATTAGACTCAAATGCCATATGTTTATATGGAAGTAACTTAGTACATTTAATCAAGTACTGTACTTAAGTACAATTTTGAGACACTTGTGTATTTCCATTGCTACTTTGTACTTCTACTGACAAAAATTCAGAGGTACTGTAAATGGTGTACTTTTCCTCCACTACATGTATTTAATACCTTTAGTTACTTTACAGATGTGGATGAATGATGAGAAATATAATCAAGTGTTAAATCAGACTTTAGTTCCACCTGGAGTAAATTCACAAGCTACCCTGCAGTATACAAAGTCATTCAAACTAGCTTTGAGAACACTTTCATGATCAATCATTACAAAAAAAATCATAGATATTATTCTGAAATGGACCAATCTGCACAGTGACTACTTTTACTTTTGGTACTTTAACTATATGTTGATGCTGGTACTTTTCTACTTTTACTTGAGTAACATTTTGAATGCAGGACTTGTACTTGTAACAGAGTATTCCTACACTATGGTACTTCTACTTTTACTCAAGTACACGATCTGAATACTTCACCTCTGTATGCATCGATGAGTCATAGACTATTGTCTGGGCTGCTATGCAAGGTGCCTCCTGCTTATTGGAGAGAGAAACATTGACATGCACTCACACACCGTTTGACCATCAGGACAAATCTTCAGTATATTCGACATGTTGACTGCAACTGTCCTTCTCATTGGTGGAAAATATCTTCTCTAGTTTTCCATTTCATCTTTCTAAATGTGCTTTAGCAGGAATGCATGTTTTGTGTATGTTGTGTGATGGTTTGGTTGCCACGTCCCCCGAGCTCCTCTACCAGCGGAGAGACTGAGAGAGAGCCTGTTGGCAGTACCAGGACGTCCGTCTGTACATCTTGAAGTCTCATCACACTCCCTCTCCGTCTGTCTGTCCGCTACATTCCTTCCCCAACATCACCTCCCTCTCACTGTGATATTTAGCTGCTTCTCCTCATCATTTCAGAAGAATCCACTTAGTGTGTCTCCCCTACATGGATCAGCTGTTTGCCCCAACAGTGAATTTCAAAAATGTGAGTGTGTGTGTGTGTGTGCTATGTATCCAAGAAGAATGACCTCATCTTGTCAGAGTGTTTATGGAGCAACGTTAACCTCACTGTGAGCCCCACATGTGTGCAGTAAAAGAAAAGGGGGGTGGTTGAGGGGGAAGAACAGGATTTTTATGAAGTTGCAATCAAACCTGCCTTGTTTATATGTCCAAGTTCATCCAGACACGATGTGTCGCCCACCGTTGAAAACAAAGAGGAGATAAGGGGGAGAGGGGAGCAAAGTGTGAGGGGAAAGAAAGTAATGAGGAATCCTTTTTTTGGCATCTGATACTCTCCATAGACATTTTTATTTTTGCCCTTCCTGGTGTTATTATAGATCTGCATAATTCCACAGTGAGGGAATGCAATGGAATAATTGCCATTGGATACAATTTATACATTGCTGAAACATTCTCCCCAAAGAATGAGCCACTTTCCTTTTGGACCAAAAATCTCAACTTTTCACACATACAGTACCTTGATTTAATGGGCAGATTACCGTGACATTGCTGAAAACCTTCATGCTTCATAAGGGACTAAACCATCTGAAGTATTTTTCCAGCTAGTTTTGGATCTGAAGTGATGTGATGTCCCTCGGTCAGTCACCCTATGGGTCCAGGCTGAATTATGGTAATTGGTTTGCCGTGGTTACTAAAGATATGCATGGTAACCAGAAGATACATCCCTTTTTTTTGGGCAGTTTTTCTCACTTTTCATCTCGTCTGAAGCCTTCGCTTCCCCAATCAAACATCTCAACAGTTACAGAAGGGATTGGAACGTTGTCAAAATGTCACTTTGTCCAAATTAACATATTGAACTCAAAGGAGAATACTTCTGTACTTTTTATTATTCTCAAATGGGCCATTGTGCAGAATGAGTAATTAACTTTTTGTAATTTAATACAAATAATAATAATACATTGTATTTATCTAATGCTTTATCAGGTGCTCAAAGACACTTTACAGAGGTAAACAAATAAGATGTAATTTGTTAGTATTTTAATACCATGGTATTCATACTTTTACTTATATAGCCCTATAATCAATTATTGTAACAGAAATGTAAAACTTAAAGGGGACCTATCATGCAAAATGCACTTTTGTACGTCTTTTATACATGAATATGTGTCCCCGGTGTTCCAGGGAACTCACCAAGTGTCAGAAAACACAACCCTCTATTTTCCTCCATACCCAAATCTCTAAAAAAGGGGCTGCAACGGATCTGATAAAAACTGATCCAGATTTGAACACTGTCCTGACGTCACAGAAGTGGCGCTACGGCTATTGGGCCAACTCTCCACCTATCAGGGGAATGTGGGGTTGGGCCACAGCCGGCCATTGCCGCTCGAAAGCGCTGGAGACGCTGTAGTACATATGCCAGGCCTGTAAGTGGCGCTGTAGTCTGCCACAAAAGCAGTGAAGAAGACTTCCCGCCCATAGTTACCATGGTTACCCTTCTGTTTATTCTCCGCTGTGGCTTTCTTTCTCCCTCCCAGAGGCAAGCGTTTGCTCCCGCTGCTTTAATTCAATGCAATCCCTCCCCGTCGAGGCAAGCACTGTAATTCTCTCCGGTTAGTCCACCAGCAGATGACAAACACCCACCTCTCCGCCTCTTCCAAGGAACGAGGGGACCGTGCGGCAGAGTTTCAGTTTCAGTTTCTTTCGCCGGTCAAGATGTCCGTTAAAGTTTAAATCTTCCGGACAAAATTAGAAAAGTGCCGGTCAAAGGTCTTCTTTGTTATTTATTGAGCTTTAAAACAAATGAATAACGACTCTATATAATAAAACACGGAGGACGGAGATCTATTTTTCTCCCCCTCTTCTGACAGCCCAGCAGCTGATCAGAGCACGTCTCCCCTCTGTTGTTTAAGTGCTTTTTAGCAAGGCTGATTTCCATGTGGTATTTGGTTTCCTTTCTGATTTCCTCCCTTATTTCTGTTTCGTAAAACTGGTTCTAGAGATAAAACACATGTCCATTGTTCTCCATCTTTACTCCAGATTACATTTCATTGTCTCTTCTGAGAACCTGATGTTAGAAATCATCTTTGTTTGATAACTCCAGTATGTCTGCAAACCCGCTATATTCAGCCTGGCTTCACCTCATGTTTCAGATTTCTGGTGCCAAAAAGATGAGATGCTGTTGGTTTTGTTTCTGCGTTGCAAGTGTAGGCGGACGTCGCTGCACAGATGGTGATCACTGCAGTGTGTGTGTACTCCATATATGCTGGTGTATACCTGGGCATTGCATGGAAGACTTGCAGTCTGCTGGCCTTATGCTGCTTCTTTTCAAGCAAACAAACACACACACACACACACACACACACACACACACACACACACACACACACACACACACACACACACACACACACACACACACACACACACACACACACACACACACACACACACACACACACACACACACACACACACACACACACACACACACACACACACACACACACACACACACACACACTATTTTTAGCTGGCCTGAAGCCTGGGATTGTTCGTGAGCAAAATGAAAAAAAAGACAGGAGATTTGGAAACCATTGTCTTTAGGTATTTTACACGTTGCTAAAGCAGCAAACTCCATCTTCACCAGAATCATTATTCAGACTAAACAACCATAACAAGCAAGACAATCATTAGACACCCCCCCCCTCCCCTCCAGCTATACCACAGTTTAGGTGTTTTGACTGTCAGGTGTCGCTTCTAAAATGTTTAGGCCAGTTTTGGGTGTTTTGTATATGATTGCTTTATAACCAATTTAATATTGTATGTTAATTAATGAACAAGACTAGTTTGTTCTGAAGCCAGCAACACACACAGACACATTTTGTAACACACACACACGCTTGAATTTACCAGGAGACTGAAGTCCTCTCCTGTGTGTATCAGCCATTGATCTCCCTCACACTGAGAGCTAAAGGACAAACAGACTGCTGCTGACACTCTGAGGATGTTTTGTTTTTGTGTGTTTGCATATTTAAAGGTAGGGTAGGCCATTTTGGAGAAACCAGCTCGAGTGCTAGAATTTGAAAATACACAGCCGGAAAAAATCGGCCACTTCCTTACAGAGCCCCTCCTCCAACACACACGAACGCCCACATGACCAATGAGGGCACGAGATAAGTTTGTGCACAGATGGAAGGCTGACAGGCAGGTAGGCCATCCAATGGTCGTGCTTTTTACAGTACTACGGCTTCCACAGATTACATTTTTTATGGATTTTTTGTTAAGATATTCATTGCTATCGGGATGTTAAGAGCATTCCATGGAATATAACAAAAAGTGTATCTCAAGCCGGTTTCTCAAACGTACCTACCCCACCTTTAACTAACTTCAGATTATTTTCGTCTCATGCTCCAAATATAACTCCTTTATAATTGATGGGCTCTAAGGATCCATGAGGTTTCATAATGTGTTCGTGCTGAAGTGTTTACTATGAGAACCAATCTGATATTAAAGAGAAATGTGTTTTATAAATGTGTGAAAATAGCATGTGCTTTCAAACCTCCCCTTGTTTCAAATTGCAACCTGCAATCAAACGTAAGCATGGTTCTCTGAATTTCAGATGAGGGTAATACAGGGTTTTCTGTGGCAGTCAGTATGAATGAAAAGAGTGGTGCTCTGAAACATTTGTGTTCTTTAGCGGAGTGTTAAAGCCTAATCCACAGATTTTCCATAGATTATTTTTTATCTAGAATACAGAATCCCTTGTTTTTATCTAGAAAAATATAACACCATTGAATGATTCTATGTAAGAAAAGTGGTTTTGGTGTGAGGTTACTTATTGAGTTCACCTTTAGTGCCAAGCAGCAGAAATTAGCCTGAATAAATTCAAAATGGTTCACCCTCTGGGGAGCATTGTGCTCTGTACATGTTATCGCAATGGTGAAGTTTTAAGTTGGCCTGATGCTGGAAAAAAGGTCAGGATCATCTTTTGTAAATCATGAATAACTATTTGGGGCACATGGGCAGGGTTAGACTTCTGGAAGAGGTCTCTATGGCTTATGTGATGAGAGGTGGCTGACCTGATAGATCATCCAGTCAGAGTCCAACGTAGATCTCTGAGTGGTGTAATCTGCTTTGGTGTAAGACATCATCATGACAACACAGTTTTAGGGAACGCTTTAGGGCGTCCGGTCGCTTGCTCAAGGGCACCATGGCCCGGGAGGTGAACCAAGTAGCAGTCCACACTCCATATTTAGGTCTGTTCGGGGACTTGAACCGGTGACCCTACGGCTCACAGTCGAAGGCCCTACTGACATAAACACTTATTGTCTGTGAAAATAATAATATGAAATACATTTTAAAAAATGTGAATAAGGGAAGCAGCTTTCAATCTGCTCAATGGGACACATTCCCACTGACACAAGGTAAAAAATAAAAATTGAATTAGGACTGAAACATTTGCTGAAACACAAAGTCAGCTCCTACCTGTGAACAAATAACTGAAGTTCAATGTTAGATTATTATAAAATATACATGCTATTTTCTTGTCGGATAAACTACAAAGTTACTGGAAGTGCCATCGTACATGTTTCCTTTCCTTCAGCGTCCTTTGTTCTGTGTTCCCAGCAGACAGATGAAGCCGCTCAGACAGACAGTCAGCCTTCATCACAGACGGTCCCTGAAAGCACCGACAGCAAGGCCCAGCCCAAGAGACTGCACGTGTCCAACATCCCCTTCAGGTTCAGAGACCCAGACCTCAGGCAAATGTTCGGCGTGAGTACTGAATCAAATTCATTAAATGTTCATGTTGATGTTTTACATTTGGATTTAAACCAAAAACAGGAATTAAAAATGGTTGGGTTTAAATGTTCTGTTGGACCAATCACAACATATAAATCAATCACTGAGAGTTTTCTCTTTTGTTTGTCTTCACAGCAATTTGGCAAAATCTTAGATGTGGAAATCATCTTCAACGAGCGAGGTTCTAAGGTACATGGTGTTTTTTGTGTTAGCATGTCTAAAAATTATTTTGTTGTGGTCCAGAATAATTGGCACAGCGAAGTAATACTGTTGGCTCTGATTCTTTGTGTTAGCTCAAATGTTCTTTATAATTCTCTATAAAAAACCTCACTGTATTGTTCACTTTTTAAACCCAAAAGCTAATAGTGTTTAATAGTGTTTTATTGAAATCTCCTCCTTAGAAGAAATTCCTTCTTTCATAGACTTATGTCTATCAAAGATTAAAATCACTTCCTTTCAGAATATTATATATGTTTTTATGTTCTTATCTTGTATACGTTTGATTATTAGTGTCATCTTTTGTATTATCTTTGCTGATGCCATGCCATTATTTTGGTGCATTTGATTTACTCTCTTGTACTTTTTTTCCCAACTACATGGCCAACATGGGAATATTGCAGTGTATGATTGCATAATCTACATTATGCAATAACCATAGACCTCTGCTATGAAAGCAGACATTTATTATTAATGCATGTTATTAACCCCTTGAGACGGGACAGTGCAGGTAATGAAAGGGGAAACAGAGTGTGAGGCTTCAGTTCCAATCACTAACCATTTTGAATAAATATATCTTACAGACAGTATTCGATTTTTCATTGTTCGCTTATACATTTTTACTGACTTATGTTCTATATGAATTAAAATGGCCGTTCACAAGGTTTTAGCTCCCAACAGCCATGGTCAACCATTGCAACAAAAATGACAGGCTGTCAAGTTTTGCATTTCTGAATATGACAAAGCAGTGTATGGGGCTCTAGTGAGAGCGATAATAAATATCAAAGTTCGGAGGGTTGTATCTTCTAATCACCTGTAAGGAATGGTTTGCCTGGGGTGTTATACTAGCTGCAGTATGCAATGCAATGTTAGCATTAGTAAAACCCCATTCCAGACTTGAACATCCACTGCATACACAGTATACACTTACAGAGTTTGAGCTTACTTATAGGAGCTGCTGCGTCTGCAAACATAGACCACAAAAACAACAACCAAACTTGATATGTTGCCTTGAACACGCAGGTTTAGCCTCAGTCTTATAGCATGCTATCATGTTTGTAGCACTTGGGTGCAAATTGAAGACCCATTAGAAAGGTTACCACTTTAAAAGGATCCAGCCAACTACTCAAAGTTAAATTACGGCCAGCAAAATCAATGTTCTCTGACTAAGAATGGCAATACTGATGTCGTCTAGGCAGGCACCCGTACAACCAGAAATCACATGCAACCATGTTGTCTGCAGGTATAGATTGGTGCAGGACTTAGTCCTGAAACCCATAAGTGAGTCAGCATTTTACCACTTTCATTTTCATTTGGTCAGATGTCTGAAATAATATCTGTGGTTAAAACACGCTTTAGAGATATTCATTATTTGTCCATAAATGATGTCAGTAAATACACCATTTGTGAATGAACCAAGCTTCTATGTTTCATAAAAGCAGTGGTTGCTAACAAGTGACAAAATGATAATACTAAATGTCGTCACGCCAAACATTAGCCCCCTTTAGCTTAGCGGTGGTGATAAGGTCGTAGACTGTCTATAGCCTCAATTATGACTTTAATTCTGGCGATTGCATTAATGCTTCAAAAAAAGTATGATTAACGTGTGTTTCTCAGAGATGTTATTTTCTGCAATATTCCAAAATCCAATGAAAAAATTCCATTGCTTTTTGTCTAGGGTCTTGCCTTTCGATGCTAACTTCCTGGTCAGCCTAAAAATGTATCTCATCACTGTACCACTATGTATTAAAGAATCTAAGGGGCAGGGCTTTTTAAAGGGTCTGTCTCCTCTTATCAATGATTTGCATTTTTGTCCAGACTTGTAATAATATTGTATATTGATTAATATAGCATTCTGAAGAGATACTTGTGTGATCTACTGTGCTTATTTATTGAATCAGGAGGTTGTTCACTGTAATGACGAGTATCACATGTGAAATATAATGTGCATGTTGTTCTTGCCTCTCTCCGTCCTGCATGCAGGGTTTTGGGTTCGTAACGTTCGAGCATAGCGTGGACGCCGACAGGGCCAGAGAGAAATTACACGGAACCGTGGTAGAAGGCCGTAAAATAGAGGTGCATGTTCTCAAATACTTCTTCCTTCTCCCTATCCCCCTTTTCCCTGTGTGTGTGTATGTGTGTGTTTGTGTATTTGTGTGTGAGCGTTTGACTGACTACATCCCACTTCAAGCCATCCAAGCCGTATCACCTCCCTTTCCTTGTGCATTTTCATTAACCAAACACAAATAATATCCACATATTATAGAACAACATGATGGTATGATTAAGACCTTGCTTATTTTATTATTAGTTTCTTTACATTTTTTTCCCTTCTCCTGTTTTCCTTGTTTTTGTACAGCTGAGGCAATTGGCTTTACCAAAGGTTTAAGTGTGAAAATCAACACGACCAGGAATTAAAAACGTATTTTGGCCAATATTTTCTATGTTTATTAATGAAAGGAGCTTTCCCGCAGAAATCCAATTTTGCTTATCCACGGACAGAGGAAGTACTTAAGAATTTGAGAGACATGCAAGGTTTACAGCTAAATACTGAATGGCTATTTCAATGTCTTTTGTACCTTAAGAAGAATAAGAGCAGACACCACCAGCCTTCAAGCATAACTCTGTCCATTTATCACAGTGCAGTTGCAATCTTCCATATCTAATCCTTTATACAAGGCAATATCAGCAACTGTACCTAGAGAAGATGCATCATTCCACTATTTTTGGGTTCCTATCCCATACCTGAATTTGGAGATCTATATATAAAAACAATTCCAATACCTGCTTGGCAGCTGTAGCAACACAGCCAAAGAACATTCTCCACCATTATTACATACTGTATTTATATTGGTCGTCCAAAACGTTACCCATTATGCAATGATTATATTTTGTGAGATTAGGAACCCCGATACCAATATTAGATTGGATCAGTCTCACCCCTAGTACCTATTGATACAATATCTTCATCTATATGGCTGTATATGACCATGAGGTTTGGAATGTAGATTGAGATGTAAATAAAGAGCTCTCAGCTTCCTTTTCACCATGCAGACCTGTTACAGTGTATCGATCATTCGATCTTCACTTGAAAACCCGACATATTCCTCACTTGAGGTAGTGACTACAGCCAAACATATTAAGCTAACAAATAGCATTCAAAGTTTCTACAGCACCTTCCTTACTGGGAAGCAGGTATCTCAAGCTGAATTAATCATCAAACCATCAGTCTCTGCAAGGTATACCCTACACCCTAATGCTATAGGCCTAAACCCCTTCTACCATTAGAGGCTGCAGACATTTAAACTGTTGGAACATGTAATGGCACTCGGGTTGGGAACCGAAACTCTGTTCCAGATGAGAACCGATAAGAAAATGCCGGGTACCCATACAAAATACACAATTTCGGTTCTGCTTAACGGTTCTTAAACGCGGTAGACCCTGTATTCCACCGGGTCCGTCTGCGCCGCGGTGACCCGGTGGAATACAGGGTAAGGGCGGACTGGCCATCTGTGTGTTCTAGAGAATCACAGAACGGCCGGTCGTCAGCGGGCCGCTGGCGGCCGGCACCGCCCTTAATTTTTTTAAACGGCATCATGTAAGTTACGCTGACAGGCGACAGAGGTCCACAGTTGCCCCGCAGCGAGGCTCCCCCCGCCCTCCCGTAGACAGTTCACGAGCTCAGTCACTTCATAACACCAAAGATGGATCGCGGTAAACGCTCTAAAGTGAGGCTCCACTACACTGAAAAAGAAAAAGACAAGGCACAGTGTAATGCCTGTTAATAGCTTGCCACAGGCATAGCTCAGTTAAAATAAAGCACAGCTATTGTGCAATACATTTGTATTGCATGTATATTTTTTATTTGTAAAAATGTCAGTTAAAGCTTAAAAGAATAAAGATATTTTTGTTATCTAAACGTTTGACCTCTTTCTTTTACAATTTTGTAATCGAAACGGGGAATCGATAAGAACCGGAATCGATAAGCAGAACCGGAATCGGAATCGATACATTTCAAACGATACCCATCCCTAAATGGCACAAGATAATCTCCTAACACAGGAAATCTCATTGCCATCCAACCTCAGCACTTCTTACTCAGTACGTGTCTTTAGCTGACGCTTTTATCCAAAGCAACTTACATTAATTTCAATACAGTAGACATGTCTATGGGAGCAATTTGCCTAAGGACACTTCTCCATGTTGACTGCAGGAGCCACTGTCCCTCGATTGGAACAGGCCCATTTACTCCCTAAACCACAGACGTGATCTATCAGCAATGTGCACTTGCTTGTATTTGATGGTGACCGCAGCATCTTGCCAGAAAATGTTCCAACAAAGTCATGAAAAATGTGAACCAGGTTCAACAGTTTTTCTAGGCCTGCATCTTTTTGTTGAAGCCCTGAACAAAATTCCAACTGCTCAGATCTCTGAAATGCTCTAAACTAATGTTATCCTTCATCTTAAATGACATTTCCTACTGAATTGACATGACAGCTACAGGATTTAACTCTAATTTCTTTGCAAATAAAGTCTGTGACAATGATGTGCTGAAGCAATGCGTGAGGTATCATCAAAACTTAAAAATATAAATAAGTATTAAAATATTAACAGATCAAAGAAATTCACCTAACCCTAACCCTACAATCTGATTGCCTTCAGAAATGTTGCTGGTTCTATAGGACTCAATACTGAGCCAGTATGTAATCTTTTTCTGGTGTATCTCTTAAGTGAATCAATCAGTGTTTGGCTAATCAATCAATATAAGGAGTGTTGCCTTGGTGGACCTGTATTCATCTCTGACTATTAATCAGACCTACTAACCTCTTAAGCACTGGGGTCCCCCCAGGGGGGGCCCTCCCAACGTTTTTTATCTAGACTGTGTCTCAGGGCATCTATATATATCTATATAAACATCTATATTGATTTCTGACTTTTCTACATCCAACTCACAGGTTTATCATTACTTTGAGAAAAAAGATTATTAATTTAACCCTTTTAGAAGGGAAGATATGGTCATTTGTTCTGGGAATGTCATTTTCGAGCCTGAGACCTGAAAAACAGGCTCAGGGTTGAACAGGCTAATTGATCTATCAGAAGCTATTGAGTATAACTGGATCGGCAGGGTCTTACTTCTACTAACTTCTAGAGAACCAGGTTCAATCAACTGCTGTTTTAAGGCAGACAATGTTGTAAATCTGTTAAAGCAATCCCGTAGGATCTGGTATCTGTAATGAGGTGTGGCCCTACCTAGGCGTGAGTGTTCAATCATACCTTAAAGCAGAACTTGATTTAACCTGGTTCCCCAGAAGTTAGTAGAGGTAAGACCTTGCTGATCCAGGTGGAAACTTGCATAGACTCAATAGCTTCTGATAGGTCAATTAGTAGGTCTGAATAATATTCGGAGATGAATACAGACCCGCTTACACAACAGGATCACACAAAGCTAAATGGTCAGAGTTATGCTTTAAGAGACCGGCTGACAGCTTGTACAGAGAGAGGTGAAAGACACGTTTGTGCAGTGGAATGATTGCAAAGTTTTCTTGGCCACATGAGTAAGATGCTGCTTATTCCTTTCTCATCCCTTCCTCCCCCACCATCCTTCTAACGGTAGCTTGTTTAGGGCCCCATCCAACACAGTTACATCGGTAACAGTACACAAACAAGTGTGCGGGGCCAAGAGGTTTGGGAATGGTAAGTGTGGGCCAACGAGCCGTTCTGCCAGCATTTCCTCTCTCTTCCTCTCTCTTTGGAACGTTTGCAACGTTGAAACTCACGTGACATTTCTTTTTGAATTGTGGTTGAGTTGATACTGTATATTGACATACATATTTTCTTGCGTGTCGGCGTGCGTGCCCATTCACTAAGTGTTCTCCTGAAGCTGCGTGTGCGAGCAATACTGACTGAGATTTGACTTCGTTTGCACATCTATCTGAGATTGTTGGAAACCCATTTATTCATTTATTTTCTTTTACTTTGGAAGGCAATGCACCCTCATTTTATTTTACCCAGTTAGCTGTTGTTTGAATTTGGAATGATTTGATTGGTTGATTGACTTATTTATTTGAGTACATCTATTTCTTTGGTTGTTTTGATCTTAATATTGATTCTTGCAATGACTTGGAGAGACTGTTGTCTGAGTGTGAATGCTCCGTGTTGCTTTGGTCACAACAGTTCTTCTCACCTCTTGAGGTTGACTGGATGTTGCATAATGCTCCCAACATATTGCCTTCTCCCCTCCCCCAATGACATTTTCTTTGTCCGTTTTTTTCTCCTTCACCCCCACCCCCAACGCATGAATCTTTCCGTTTAAAAAACGTCATTTTGCCAAGTGCATCTGTTGTTTCTTTACTTTTGTCTGTAAGTTATTGAAATGTCACTACATTTGGGGAGAGCATGCCGGTAATATGTCAGAAGAATAAAACTTATGCAAATGAGATAGAAAACTGATTTGTTTTGAACGTGTTATCAAGTGTTTCTGAATGCAATTCTGAAAACACACAAATTACATTCTTTGTTTACAACATTAGGCCTATCTATGCATGCAGATCTATTGTAGCACTTACTGGTAACTCATAAGTATCATAACTCATGGACCTGTTTTTTTTATCTATCGTAGGTCAACAATGCAACAGCCCGAGTAATGACAAATAAGAAGACTGTCAACCCATATGCAAATGGTAAGGTCAAATCAGATTCTACAGCTAAATAAAGTCCAGAAATGAACCCAAAGCTCATGGTAAAAAAGGGTGAGGGCTGGGTAGGGGTCAGGATGTGATCAAGGCTTTTGACTCATGATTCCCATGCAACCTTACAGGGCTTTAACTGGGACTATCAACTAAAAACCTACTGAAGCAAAAATGTTTTTTTTAGCATTTATGACTTCACTATCCAAGTTCAAACATAATTATTTAACCTGTTAACCCCCGAGCCTGTTTTCCAGGTCTCAGGCTCGAAAATGACATTCCCAGAACAAATGACCATAACTACACTTCTAAAAGGGGAAAATTAATAATCTTTTTTCTCAAAGTAATAATAAACCTGTGAGTTGGATGTGGAAAAGTCAGAATCAATATAGATGTTTTTTATTTTAAAGAAAATTCAGATTGAACATAGTAAAAAACTGTAAATTATAGTGTCCGTCCAAACATAATTTTTTACTTATAGTGAAAACTACCCTTGGATGATGGTATCGTAGACTACAAGCTTTAGGAATCCAAAGTACAACATATAATAAGTACCCTGTATCAAGATTGATGCAAAACAAGTTAAATTTGACCTTTATAGAGAGATTTAGCAAAAGAAAACCACTTCTGGGGTCATTTGGGTGGATTTTCCATATCTCTGGCCCCCCTTGGTCGATTTTGATGATTGACATCTCTTTTTAACCGTCAGAGCCAATGGAATCGAGGGAACGTTCCACATACACACACAGGTTACCAAATAAGGAGTGAGAGTGATGCGTATAAAAACCGGAAGCTGCGCTAACCTCTTGTGGCTACCATTAGCAGCTAATTTTTATTCTCCGATTTTTGCATAAAAATTGAATTATGGATTATCAATAATTTTTTCAAAGTGACACACATTGGATTAACCTATGGATTAACCTTCAGCCGCATTTTTTCTCGTTTTAATGATATTGAACACGACTTTTGATCAGAATAACAGCTAAGGTGAGCATATCTCCGTGTTTTGCTACCTAAAGCTACGTTGTGTGTTGTCTGTATTTGCTTCCCCCGTCACGAGTTCTGATCGCTCAGTGATGATCCTTATATTTCTATAATCTGTGGAATCTCAGGATGTTAGCTAAACTTGTTTGTGCAGATCCAATAAGTATATCGATCAGTATAGCTAGAGTTCTGTAATAACGGCATTAAGATTTTTTCGCTCAGGGCAGATTAAGAGGCTCAGCGTTAGTCTTGTGTTTTTTCTTGCTAAAAATGGTTCATATCATCAGTTAGCTGAGTTTATTCCCGTTACATGGATATAAAACATTCATAGTTTATTAAATATTAAGAAGCCCTCAGACGCTGTTTCCTGCAGATGATGCGTTTTTCCGCCCGGGGGCGGGTCGATGGGGTTCAACAGGTTAAAGGGTAATTTTTCTCTAAACATCAAGAAAGCCACTTCAACTAGTTTCAGGACGATGTAGATTTTACAAGTCACATACTAAGGTTCTTTACATCCCCACCAGAAGAAAAACATAACATTTTTCAAGGGTGTAAATATGTTATAACCATACACTGTATGAATGCATGCAATGCTTTGTCTCGAAAGACCACTGTAAAAAGTGTTCAGTCAATTACATAAGATTATCGGAAAGTACATTTAACCAGTTAACCAGTTAACCCTCTGAGACCCACGGGGCCGTATACGATCCCAAATATCACGTTGTGTTCAAAGCGTCATAACTTCTCAGCTGTTTGAGCCAGAGACATGCCGTGTTTTTCCTCTTAAACTACAGAAACGGCAATAAACAACTCTATTAAGTTTTTCATTGAGAGGCGTTTACTTATTTCGGTGAAACGGATGTGCGTAAAGTTTTAAAAGATGCGGATAGTCTCACCTTGATTCTGGCGCATTGCTTATCGTTTTGTATGTTTTATAGGTCTATTCTCATCCACCATCTTTGTTTGTGACGTAAAGAGTGTAAGAGTCACGTTTCTGAATCGGACACTCTGAGTGGATGCATTCACAGCCAATCGGAGTCTGATTCAGAGGGTTGCCTGTCAGTTCCGTTGTTTTGTGTACTGAAACGAGAGCCAGTATAATTCCACGAGCTAAGACAAAATAAAAGTTGGAATACGTTCTTTTAGTGTTTTGAAAGTAAACTGAGGTATGGCAAGGAAGTTTACTACAGCTGAGGCGTTGGAGCTGATTTTTCAAAGGGACGATGTTGATGAAAATTCAGACGAATCTTCTCAGCATGCCATGTGTGATTGTGGAAAGGAACTACCATGATATATATTTCTTCTAATCAGTTCTCATACAATGATAATAAATGTGTGCAATTGTCTGTGTTGAATGTTTTTTTCAATGTTATGGTTAGCAGTTATTTTTAATGAAATAAGCAAATAATTCAAGCTCATGTTTATGGGCAATTATCCCATATTATATTGTATATAAGTCTCTAATGAGTGGCATATATCATTAGCTGAGGTTGTGCTGATTTCTGGGATGTGTACAACTTTATTATACTGTAAGGAAATGACAATTTATAAGGCAAAACACAAAAATATAGAAAAACGGAAATGTCCTATGTGGGTCTCAGAGGGTTAAGCCCCGAGCCTGTTTTTCAGGCCTCAGGCTCGAAAATGACATTCCCAGATAAATGACTATAACTTCACTTCTAAAAGGGGTATAAATGGTTAATATTGTCTGATAGCTGAGTTTCTTCCCGTTAAGTGGGTATGACACAGTCATAGTTTGTTAAATGTTAAGAGCCCTCAGACGCTGTTTCTTGCAAGATGTTGCGTTTTGCCCCCGGGAAGAAACTCAGCTATCAGACAATATTAACCATTTTTAGCCAAACGAAACACAAGGGTAATATCAAGCCTCTGAATTAGCCCTGAGCGAAACAATTCTAACGCACTTAGCACAGAACTCTTTGTAACTTTATCACTTATCGGATCAGCACAAACAATATATCAGATTAAAGCTGAGATTCCACAGATTCTAGAGGTATAGGTATCATCACTGTGCGACCAAAACTCAGGGCAGCGAAGGCAAACCCAGACAACACCCCACGTACCACTTTCGGTTTGGGCAAGCTGCGTGCGCATCACTCTCATTCCTCAATAGTAACGTGTAGGTGGATTTAAGAACGTGCCTCTCGATTCTATTGGCTCTAACGGTTCAAAAGAGGTGTCAATCATCAAAATCGACCGAGGGGGGCCAGAGATATGGCAAATCCACCTAAATGACCCCAGAAGTGTTTTTTTTGTTCCTAAACCTCTCTTAAAAAGGTCAAATTTAACTTGTTTTGCATCAATCTTGATACAGGGTACTTATTATATGTTATAGTTTGGATTCCGAAAGCTTTTAGTCTACTATCCCATCATTCAAGGGTGGTTTTCAATATAAGTAATATTTTTTTTTTGGACGGACACTATCATTTACATTTTTTTACTGTGTTCAATCTGAATTTACTCTAAAATAAAATAAATCTATATTAATTCTGACTTTTCTACATCCAACTCACAGGTTTATCATTGCTTTGAGAAGAAAGATTATTAATTTACCCCTTTTAGAAGGGAAGATATAGTCATTTGTTCTGGGAAGGTCATTTTCGAGCCTGAGACCTGAAAAACAGGCTTTTCTTTCACGAAACTGTGTCTCAGGGCTTCTTAACATTGAATAAACTATGAATGTGTCATACTCAGCTAACTGACGATACGAACAATTTTTACCGAAACAAAACACAAGTCTCACAAGAAGCATTTAAATGAGCCCTGAGCGAAAAAATGCTACCGCACTTAGCACAGAATTCTAGGTATAAATACTTTATTACTTATCGGATCTGCACAAACAAGCTTTTCTAGCAAACTGAGATTCCACAGATTCTAGAGGTATTAGTATCATCACTGAGCGATCAGAACTCGCGACATGGGAAGCAAATACAGACATCACAACACGGAGCTTTAGGTAGCAAAAACTGAGATATTCTTACCTTTTGCTGTTATTCTGATCAAAAGTTGTGTTCAATGGCATTAAAACGAGAAAAACGCGGCTGAAGGTTAATCCATAGGTTAATCCAATGTGTCCGTGTCACTTTGAAAAAATTACTGTTAATCCATAATTCAATTTTTATGTCAAAAACTGAGTTTTCATATTAGCTGCTACCGAGCTACCAGAGTGTATGACAGCTTCCTGTTTTGGGTATTCTGGCTACGCATCACTCTCACTCCTTATTTGGTAACGTGTGTGTGTATGTGGAACTTCCCCTCGATTCTATTGGCTCTAACGTTTAAAAAGAGATGTCAATCATCAAAATCGACCAACGGGGGCCAGAGATATGGAAAATCCACCCAAATTACCCCAGAAGTGTTTTTTTGTGCTAAATCTCTCTAAAAAGGTCAAATGTCAATTGTTTTGCATCAATCTTGATACAGGGTACTTATTATGTATGATGTCCTTTATTGTTTTATGTTTGTTTTATGTTTCATGTGGAACCTATTTGCTGCAGGTCTCCCTTGAAAAAGAGATCTATGATCTCAAGGGACCAATCTGGTTAAATAAAGGTTTGAAATGAAATTATATGTTATAGTTTGGATTCCTAAAGCTTTTAGTCTCCGATCCCATCATTCAAGGGTGGTTTTCACTTTCGGTAATTTTTTTTTTTGGACGGACACTATAATTTTATTTTATTTACTATATTCAATCTGAATTGACTTTCAAATAAAAAAAATCTATATTGATTCTGACTCTTCTACATCCAACTCACAGGTTTATCCTTGCTTTGAGAAAAAAGATTATTAACTTACCCCTTTCAGAAGTGAAGTTATGGTCATTTGTTCTGGGAATGTCATTTTCGAGCCTGAGACCTGGAAAACAGGCTCGGGGGTTAACAGGTTAAGTCAGAGATGCCTGTCTGAAAATGCCAGTCATAAGACAAGAAAAATGGGTTTGCGCTGTAATTATTTAAAAGCCTGGTGGGTCTCCTGCCCAGATTTTAACAGGC